AATGTGAATAAGCTCCTCTTGGACTTGAGGAGCACATGCAACATTTAAACAAGGCCAAATCTTCCTTATCTGTCCTGATATCTTATACGGTACATCTTCAGATTTACATACAGTATGTCTGCCCAAGGACACGGTCTTTATCAGCTTGTTTTTTAATCCGCATTAGAGTAGCTCTTAATATTTCTCATGTTTCCAATCTCACTCTAGATGCGGAGCACAATGCTGACCCTTCCACATTAAAGCTCAGACAGTAAGGAAATGCCTATGCCGTTCAATCTGCAGCCTCTGATAAGTTGCTGTCAGGTGACCAATAAAACCATCTCCTTTCTTTACTTTTTTGAGCACAGAAAAGCCCTTTCAAACCCATGGAAATCTAACTGGATCTTTGTGTTCTGCTTTGAACAAAAAGACACCTGTCCCCATATTAACTTTTGTTACTACAGCTATTAGTTACCTTTTGATCTTCTGAGGGGTTGTCTGAATGTCTTTGATGTCTGCTCCAAAATTGCAATCACAAGAGATACTGCACTCTATAGGACCGTTACAAAAATTGATGAGGAGACAGAATTCACACTGAACATTCTACAGTATGTCCAGAATTCAGACCAGGTTTAGTGTAAGTGGTCACTTTACTCCTGTCCTGGAGTCCCTGCACTGGCTTCCTGTCAGGTTTCATGTTGATTCAAAATCTCCTGCTCGTCTATAAGGCTCTGCATGGCTGGGCACCTCAGTACCTGTCTGAGCTATTATCGCCCTACTCCCCACCTCACAACCTCTAATTCTGGTTTCGGGTCTGTCCTCCAAGCCCGACTACACTCTATAGGTGACACGGCCCTCTCCTGCTGTGCCCCACAGCTCTGGAGCTCTATCCCTGAGGGTATCGGAGAGTTGCCTTCTCTAAACTCCTTCAAATCCAAACTCGAAACCTTCTTCTTTAGAAGGGTCTTTATTTAACTGGTTCTGTTCTTTACCCCTCTGCTCCTTCTGTATCCAGTACCCCCCATCTACTGTCTCCCCTCATTGTGCATTTTCAATGCATATATTTTGTTGTCCCATAAAGTGTTTTGAGAAGCCACTTCCAAAGCCGCTATATACAAATAAAGTTTATTAGTATTCCGATCTATGTCAGCGCTCCAGTCCCTCTCGTGCGTAGCTTCCTGCAGCTCGGATTTGCCCCTGGGAGATGAATGGAGGGGGTGTACCTGCACGCCCATGTGACCGGGGTGAACCTGCGCGCCCATGTGACCGGGGTGAACCTGCGCGCCCATGTGACCGGGGTGTACCTGCGCGCCCATGGCCCAGGCGGCCAGGACGTGGCGGCAGTAGTTGATGCTCCGGGGTTTCATCTTGGAGTCGCAGGGGCCGCTGTACTGGGGGACGGAGTCGAACTGCGGGGCGCACTCGAACACCTCGATATGGTGAACGATGGCTTCGTTCCCGGGGGTGATCACGGATTCGTACTGAGGGCAGAGCGGAAATACGTACACGGCTTATTGTCTCTGCAGTGGGGACACAGTGGAGTGGCTTACTCCATAGTGTCTGGTAACGCTGGCACAGGACAGGCCTGCCTGCAGCTTGCCAATGGCCCCTGTCCCTTGCTTCTGGTGACAATCGAGGTACTACGGAAAGCACAGAAAACCAAGTGGGGCCTTTTTCTCGCTGTGACCTAAGCTTTGAATTAAGGCCTTTTTTAAAGGTGACCTGATCAGGCAGTGTTCCACCTGGACCTCGTTGGGTAAAAGTGCGCCTAACGAGCTTTCGTGTGATTGGCAAGTTGCAATGCCTCACTGAACCAGCTGCATTGCTGGTCAGAGGGCTTAAAACAAGTTGGCAACTTTTTTTGGGACAGTGCATGTGCTGTAGGTCTAGTATTCTCATTCCAGAAAATGGCATGTTTCTTTTTTTCCCCCATACGTATATAATACACATCTTCCACCCCCCCCACCCCCCATTGGAGAGCGAGTAAGGTCTCTGAGATTAGTGAACTGGACTTTACCATGACAATGTGGTTTTTCGGCATGTGTGCTGGCAGCTCGTAGATGTGGCACCAGTACGTGGTCTCCTGGCTGGGAATGCTCACGCTCGGCGCAAGGACCTCCAGGGTGCGGACATCGGGAGGCAGCCTGGGAGCTGGGATGTCGGGCCTGAGGAGCTGCACGCGCTGGACTCCACAGCTAGCCAGAGAGTGGTTGAGCATCTGCAGCGAGGTGACCGGTCGGTCCAGCACACCGTACAGGAGGTGCACCGTGCCCTCCTGCGGCACATTAAGAAGGGGGCAAAAGGTCAAAGGTCAGGACCCACAATTCCATACATGTCAGCCATCTTGCCCAGAGACTTTAAAATGATTGCGGCAGAGTGAGGATTTCAGGCATGGTACATTGTGCATTAAGAGGTAAGACCATGTGGAAGAGTATTAAAGCTTGCACAGAAAAACAGGGCTGTACAAAAAAAAAAACTCTGGAAGACGGGACTTGATAAACAAAGGGTGAGAAGTAACAGTCTAGATTTAATGCACCGCTGACGCTGTGTGCTGAGCTTCCCTCATGGTTGGCGCATGGAAACAAACCTACCGAAACTCGTGCCATTGCCACCTTGGTTAAATTGGCAACCAACCAGCTTCTTCACCTCACTCTCACCCGCGCCTGAGCCCTTTCTGCAAAGTGGAAGCCCAGCTGAGCAATGTGATTGGAGAGCAACAGAAGCCTTTTGGATGCTTGGCCTGCTGTATGGATTTGACTATATCGCAGAGGTAGTTCCCTCCGGTTTCTCCTGTCTTGGATCACCCTTAAAGAAGTGAACGATGGCCCACACCATGCCTTACTAATTGCAAACTGCCTTGGAGGAGCTCCAGAAGGTATGAGATTAAGACATTTCTTTTCACTGAAGTATGCATGCACACATCTTTTATGTAGTTAATATGGTGACAAACCCCATTTGTGTTAGCAGAGTTAGTAAGAGTCAGGAGGCTGATGTGCTTTGAGTTTTAACCTCCCCCCATATTTACTGAGGGTGTACCTCAATGAGATAGTCTTTGGGGTCACAGGTGCTAAAAGGCCTCTTGAAAAGCAGGTAGAATCCTTCTGGAGCCCTGTGGGTTTCCAGCAGCTCATAGTTCTGCTTCTCGTCCAATCTGATGTTTCCCTGAGCATCGCTCCAGGCATCCTGAGGAGAGAGAGAATGAAATCCGAAATGAATCCTTCAGTTTCTGTAGCGAACTACTGAAATTCTGGTTACAATGCAGAACAGCATGAATTGACCCACTAGCACTTAAGTGATGGACAACCCCTATATAATGGTCAGTAAGGTATTAATTTCCGCTGATCTCTAAGAGATATCTAATGATATTATAAGTCATGTACAGTATTAGGTACCACTCAGCAAGCTGTGTTTCACTAAGAAAGCAGTAATGCCTGGCTTGCAAGTGACTTTTACTCTCACGTGGTACTAAATTTCTGAATCCAGGAGCCATCTGTGTGCACTGCAGGACAGCCACAGGACCAGATCATGATGATATCTCACCCTGGAGTTTCAAGGCCAGAGAGTACAGTGTACATTTTGTGCCCGTTTCAAATGCACCACTTAAGCAATCTTCTCTGCATTGAGGAGGACAACGAGACCGAGATTTCACAAAAGCCACTTTTGAGGGTGTTCGTATCCCACTGAGACCCTCCAAGGGATTGCTTTAAAGCAATTGTCCATGACTGTTTTCTTGATTGACTGATTGTTTTCTAGACCTCTTTATCAAGTATGGGCCCCACAGTCTAGACCGCTAAGCAACAGGTACAAGGCAGGATCCACCGTGGACAGAATGCCAGTCTATTTCAGGGCAGACGCAGACAAACACACTCGCACCGGGGCCAATTTTACAATTAACCCACCAGTATGTTTTTGGACTGTGGCAGGAAACCGAAACACCCAGAGGAAACCAATGCACATACAGGGAGAACATGCAAACTCCACATAGACAGCACCCCAGCTGTAGCAATGCTAACCCCTACACCACTGTGCCACCCATATCACCCCAGATATGACTATAGTTAATTCCAGATTTCATGCCCTCCACACCTCATTAGCACACAGCTGGTCCTGACAGCTGCTTCGTTCACACTCTTCGAAGACTGTGCTCTTTCGTTTTTCTTTTAAGGGGAAAGAAAGAGAGGGAACTTTGTTTGGATTGTAGAAAAGCACAGAAGTTGTGCTTTGTGGGGAAAAGCATGCAATTATATAATGTATCACAATAGGCGACTTCTTACTTTCTTTGGCGAATTAGATACGATTCAAAATATTTTTGCCCACGACAGCAGCTCAGGAGCCATAATGAGCAGAATAAAGATGTTAAGCTTTCTCCATTAACCAGAGCCACATTTCGTCAATATTAATGAGTTTTTCCTACAAAAGATCCTCACCAGCTTAATATAATTACGATTTCTAAGTAGACCCATCTGAGGATTTCAGGGGGCTTTAAAAGAAATTTTAATCCCTGCTCCCACCCCAAAGAGCTGACCACATTTATTTCCCCTGTGGACAATCCCACTCCATTGTACATTGATTAGATGGACAGTCCACCGTCCGGAAAGCCCAGGAGCTACAGACATGAGAACAGAAGAATGGTTACAAATGAAAGAAGCCCTTCACCCCTGTCTAGCTTGTTCGCTAGTCAGTAATTAAGTGATCTAAATATCTTATCCAGGTGTTTGTTGAAATAAGCCAGGGCATCCGTTTGAAAAAGCTGGCGAGCTGTGCTTGTTCCACACTCCCACAACTCTTTGCGTAAAGGAAGACAAGACATTTTAATCCTCCCCTTCTCTGCACATCCATTTAACCTTTGCGTTTACTTTGCAGAGAGTGCCGGTCTTATTTTTGGCCCCGACCTTCTCTTGACCTTCCAGTGAACTGGGCAGGATTGCTCACTTGTGAGACCTTGATGGGCTGAGGAGTAGAATCATGGGAATGGGACTGGGGGGGGCTCCCTGTGCCTTTGTTGAGTGAAAGCAAAAAAAAAAAAGGTGTTCTCTGAACAGTGTGAGGTAAAATAGAAGGTAAATGCAGTTTCAACCCCTTGCCTGCATTAACACTGTTAATATGTGCTGGTGTGAAACACTAGTGAATCCCAGGAAATACTGTATATCAGATCATAGTCCATGATTCTGACTTTTTTGCTGAACATTCACTGTCATCCACTCCAATTTACTTAAACATCACATATTGTATGCACAGCGGTTTGGTACAAACCCTTTATGTCTAACTGAACCACAGCTATTCAGAAAAGCTCTGTTAGGTATCTTGCAAAACCTAACTAATGCAGGAAGACAGCATCGAACTCCCTGTAGTACACTGGGGTAAAATTAGAGTACAACACTGAAATCGTTGAAAAAGTATAGAACATAATGGTAGAATGATAGTAAACGTTATTACACAAATAAACCATCTTCCCCAGTTAATACATTTACATAAAGCACAAACCAACAGCACAGTTTAGAACAGAGTACACAGATTTCGGAAGTTGATTAAATGGCTGTGGGTTTGGTTAATTGATTATTCATGACTGCTGATGAGAAAATGTGTCTTTAAACACAAAATGACCACTTTAGTGAGAGTGTTGACTGGCCGTGAGGTGATTTAATCGGTTGAGTGTCAGGTCCTCTGAAAATCCCGAAAGAAACACATATAAAGAAACCAACATTCCTTGTTTATCTAGCTGTACTGGATGTTGCAGCATGAAATAAGCCAGGGCACTTTTACTCGTCTGCTGGGGTGATCACAGCCAGTGTTTTCTAACTTGGCAGGACAGTACAGCCAAGCACTGTCCGTTCATGATTCAGGCTTAGACCTGGAAGACCACAGATCCCAACATCTGTAACCAGATGCAACCAATCTCTGGTTGTGATATTTGAAGGCCACCTGGCTGTACTGATCAAGTCCTGGAACCTCACCTGTGGGCTCACCCTGATAGGACAACGTGTGGAACTGGCCATCTTGTGAGCTGACAGTGTGGCAGTGGTGTTGACCTCGTTTTCCAGATTTGAGCCCCACTGAGTGTTTGAGAAATGTACTAATGTGACCGCTGGCACTTAGGGCTCGGAGACCATGCTTGCCCATGTTCCAGAGCAGGAATGAGACAGAATTCCACAAAGCACGTGTCCCAGATTGTCAGCTCGGATTGCCTCCAGAAGTGACCAGACACAAGCTGTGACCTTCGCAGTGGACCACCCCGTTGCTCAACCCTCTTGATGACCAATGCTAATCAAATATGATAAATTGACCCGAGCCGTGTCCATCCGTTAAAATGTCCGTGCACCTGCTGCCAAAAAAAAAAGAATTTTTCCACGTAAAACAGTGTGCTTTCTGCAGTTCTAATTGATAAGTTTCTGATGATGTTCGGTATAAACTTCACTTCTGCCTTTTTAAACAGGCAGGTGGGAAGGAAAGGTCTGAAAACAGTCTCGGCATTTTCAGAAAAAAAAAGTGTCACTGAAAGTCAGGAAAAGGTCGAAAATAAATTATAAATTAAAACAATGCATTTCACTTAGCATATTTGCGAATCCTATGTTTCAGACATTCAAAATCCTGGCAACAGTTCTTCAGCCCTATCTGTCTTTGTGTTGGAAGGTTAATTATGATGACTGCTGTAGTTTCCTATTACAGAAGTGAATATCAGTGCTCACCTTTCCTAGTCATGTCTTTTAGAACACTACGTGTAGTAGCTGAACCAGAAGGCAGGAGCTTGCAAATCCCCTAGGTGTAGATCTACCACAGAAAAAATACATCTGAAGCTACTTTGCAAGACCAGCGTCCACTGAAATTTCAGCTTCACAGTCTCAGTCAAACTGTCGTCCTGTCTACTGTGGAACTAGAGTTCTAACCTGTGCATTTCCATCATCCAGAAAAGGCTTAATTCATTCTGTTCTCCACCTATCCACCACACAATCGCGCAGAAGCATGCCAAACGCTAGTTTCGCCAAATGCATTTTCCATTCTCAGACGAACGCAGTTTTGATTGCGTTTTGTTATTATTCTACAAGAAGCCCCGTTTGTCTGGATGCCCCAAGTTTCCCCATGGGCTTTGTAATTAAGTGCATTCGTTTAAAGACCTGTGGTTCTTCCTGCTACCCATCAGTCAAAGAAACGCCGGGATATTTGGTGCATTGAAAAATCATTACCCCCTCCCCTCCAGGCCAAAGTGTGGCGCTTACCCCGAAGTAGGACTTGAACCCGTCGCTCCACAGCACAGCCAGGTCGGCATTCAGAAACTCTCCCCGGTCCGACATTCCGAAGAGGACTCCGTAGCGGAGGTCTTTGACCAGGAGCCTGAAGCACAGCTCCTGCAGAGGGTAGCTGATGTTCCAGGAGAGTTGCAGGTTACCCTGGGGGTCCAAGGGCACCTGATAAGGGAAGGGGTCGCCCCCCGAGCCGGCTGCCTGATAGGACGCCACCAGGATGAGGACCAGCGTCCCGAGCATGGTAAAGTACATCACCGCCACCTCGCTCGCCCTGAACTTAAAGCGCCAAGCGTTCATCTTATCGCCTACACCGTCGCAAACACAGCGTTGTGCATTTGATTGGTTTCTGGGGGGACTTTCTCAGTCTCTGCCTCGCCCTGTTCGCTCTCTCTCTCTGCCATTTAAATGCTCCCTGCCAGAGCAGCTGGTTGTCTGGTGTGGCCTAATTGGGTTAGTTTTGTTGACTCAATTTGATTGTTTGCTAAGCCCTCTGGTCAAACACTTCTCCACATATCTGCCTGTCTTTAATTGGGGCCCTTAATTGATCATGGACATTATCAATGAGAATTGGAGCCGCCTAAATGAATTTTATTGCCTAGTTAATCTTTGCTGGAGTTTTGTGGGGCGCTATATGCTCCCAGGCAACTTGATGCTGTCTGTTTTGTGAAATTCAGCTCCCATAAAGTTCAAGTGTCTTATATCACTGTGTCTAGACCAGAATCCATAGACTGTTAGGAAGGAGGGGTTTCGGGGGGTCTGGAATATAAAGAGTTTTGGACTGCGTTTAACAGTGAGAGTTTTGCCAGAAGGAGCTGTTACTTTGGCAGCTGGAGATTCCATATTTATGGCCAGCAGCCATATCACTCACTGCTAGCAGCCCCACTGAAGCTAAGCAGGTGTGAGCCTGGTCAGTACCTGCATTGGAGACCTCCTGGGAAAAACTAAGGTTGCTGCTGGAAGAGGTGTTAGTGGGGCCAGCAGGGGGTGCTCTCACCCTGCGGTCTATGTGGGTCCTAATGCCCCAGTATAGTGATGGGGACACTATACTGTAAACAGGCATCGTCCTTCGGATGAGACATAAAACTGAGGTCCTGACTCTCTGTGGTCATTAAAAATCCCAGGGCGTTTCTCGAAAAGAGTAGGGGTGTTACCCCAGAGTCCTGGCCATATTTCCCCCTGGCATTTACCAGTCATGGCCTCCTAATAATCCCCATCTCTGAACTGGCTTCATCACTCTGCTCTCCTCCCCACTAATAGCTAATGTGTGGTGAGCGTTCTGGCGCACTATGGCTGCCGTCGCATCATCCAGGTTGGGCTGCACACTGGTGGTGGTGGAGGGGATCCCCATTACCCGTAAAGCACTTTGAGTGGAGTGTCCAGAAAACCGCTATATAAGTGTAAGCAATTATTATTATTATTATTATTATTATTATTATTATTATTATTATTATTATTATTATATTTAAAAGCTGCAATCCACAAAGGATGACCTCCCTGATTTATGCCAAAACAAGTATGATCTTTAACTCCAAAGCTCAGGGCTTCATGCAAGACTATTTAAATTATTTTAAGAGCAATAATATAAGACAGGTTAGCAATGAGGATAGCATCTTTTTCATTTGGTTGCTCGTGGCTTAATGATCCAAGAACTCCGTCAAGCTGTTTTTATATAATCCCACCAATCCAGTTCCAACAACATAGGGATTTCTTCATCATATTGACTACAGCACACGGATGTCCTTCAGGATATGGATACCTGAGTTAAATCCTCAAGCAATCTTCCCTGTTCGGAGCTGAGAAGATTTAGTTTCTGTCATCTGCTCAAATGTGACATTACCTGGTTTATACAGAACCTAGGAAGAAGGTGTAACTCAGTTAAGCGACTAATGAGCTCAGTTCCAAAATTAAAAGGTCAGCTGGAATGATCATGTGAGAAGGCTTTTGTGTCCCTTTCATGCAGCACTGTACAGGAGCCCATGTTTGAAGGGTGGTCCCAACTCTCTCCATAAACCGGACTTCTTGAATCATGAACTTTTCCTAAGCTTTAATTTTCAAATGAAAATTCCAGGACTTTTTCTTTTCTACACGAGAAAACAGACCTGGGGACAATTTAATATTTTCTCCAACAATTGTTTTTTTACCAAGTAGGCATGAATAGAAAATATATAAATATGTTTTAATACAATGGGTCGAGCCTGGTTATTGATACCAACTACAGTAGTTAAATTATTCTGTGTTCTAAAAACATTAACGTCAGTAATCAGAAAGCTTTCAACTATATCCCAGATCTAATAACACAGTAATTCTTAAAATATTGGCAATTCCAGAAAACATGGCCATTTTATAAGAGAATCTGGAAATGACTCTTCTTTTTAAGTGGAATATAACAAATTGTAGGAGGTTTTCAAATGTAAAATACTATTTGTTCGACATTTCAAACTTTATCTTCTCTTTCCCTAGCACAGTAACTTGACAATTTAGAGACACCCGTTATCCTAGCCAGAATGTCATTGGGAAGGTGGAGGAAACTAGAGCACATGGAGAAAAGTGTCAATGGGAGAACATACAAACTCCACACGGAAGGTATCCTGTCCTGATATGATATGGGAACCTAGATCCCAACAAATGATTCAGTAGAGCGAATAGCCACACCACTATGTCACTGGAACTTTGCTTATCCCAGTTATCATAGAGTGCTGACACCAAAAGACCACTTGTTATAAAACAGGAGTTTGGTTAATGTGCTGTCTAATCCAGACGGTTGTGCTATTTTGTTTTGAAAAGTTCTAGTGAGGAGCTGCATCAGCCTGCACAGGTGGCAAAGGAACAATTCAAGGTTAATTCCATGCTAGAAACTAAAAAACCAACAGTTTCTGCTCAGTCCACTGTATGCGTGTCAGGCACGAAAACGATAAAGTCATATTTTATAGTCGGGCAGATCCAGTTCATACCCTGATTAAAATATAGCCTTGATAGGGCTATAAGTCTGCATTTTTGTTCTGTGCACAACCTGTTTCATTTGTACTGATTACTGGAGTCTGACATCATTCCCCACAGATTGCACATGGGTAAATTCTGCAAGTGGAACACCACCGAGCACAAAAGGGAGCAGACAAAAACACAGTCATGGCACGTGCCCCAGAGGACAAAAGCCCTCATAGGGGGCCAGGATTTATAACACTAGCACTGACGCATTTTGGAAAAGACAAACAGATTCAGTGGTTGATGGTGTTCGCCCGAACACAGCAGGTCTCAATATCTGCTTCCAGCAATTGGTTTTATGAAGCTTTCTGGAATATTTTTCTGCAAAAGTGACTCTTATCACATTTGTATTCATCTAAAACGAAATGATTTAGTCTTTTTTGATAATTGTGAGGTACTGTAGAGACTCTTTTCTGTAGAAATCGAATAAATCCATCTACCTGGAAAACAAGCACGAAATAAATTATTGCCATATTCAATAGGAAGTTAGTTCTGTACTTGGGGCCAGTGGAAGAACACTGCAGGTTCTGCAGGTTTGTTTTGTGTGAGCTATGATTAATCACTTTATTGTTTAGCTAAGAACACAAAAACCCTTCTACCGCTGAGTGGGTGTTTCAGTGTCAACAGCTAATTGTTTTTTCGCAAAATGCCACTTACTTATTGTTTCATGTTAATGGAAATAGGGGTTGCTAATAAGGTCATAAAAAACGGTCTTGTAGAAAGATCTATGGGAGTCTGTACATGTAAAGACACTTAGAGTACAAAATGTTTCTTCAGGGGAGGTGATTGAGGAAAGAAACTAAGGAAAACCAACTACCAGCAAAATGATTGGATTCTTTTGTTTTATGTTAGACAGTTGCACATAAACATTAGCGATGGTATGAAAACCATGCAAAAGAAAATGATTTAATTTTGTCCTGTCTCTGTATTAATACAAGATGTTCTTTTCACAATGCTTGTCCCTACCTTGGGAGAACTCCTCCAGGAGTTCACGGTGTCTGGTTTCTATTGTGATTGTTGGCCAAATCAAATATTTCCTTCTATCATTCTGAAATGTTTTTGATTGGCTCAAACCTAACATTCTATCCACATTAACTCTCCATTGCAGCATTGGGGGGGGAAATTACATAAAAATACATAATGACAAATTGTGTAATGTCACGCCCCACACTCTCCCTCGCAAACGGTGTTGCGTTCCCAAACGCACTGTCACAATCTCGCTCCTAATTGAACCCATCACATTCCCACATGCACCAGATTCCACAAATTCTCACTCCCAAACCAATTATCCTACCACATCCCTTTCCTTTCAGTGTTTGAAGTTCCCTCGCACACCAACCTTTGCTCACTAGTGAGAAGCCTCCAGTAGAACTCTCTTGTGCGTATTTCTAAACCTTTTGACTGATCTCCTGGTACCTAACTTTGCTCTTGCCTTTTGGATTTGGTTTTTGGATTGTCATTTTTTGGGTTTCCCTCATTACCTGACTCTTTGCCTCCCTTTTTGGCCAAGCCCCTGGTCTTTTGGTTTGTCCCTGTGCTACTCCGCATCCTGCGCGATTCATGGTTAGGCATGAGGATCCTCCTATTCTACCAATTGGTTTCCTGACATGTAAGAGACCATGCAAGGTGTATGAAGGTCGATAGTCTGAACCTGTGTAACCACAAACTACAGTGAAGAGCACACACACATTCTCTGAGTTCCGTTTCCACATACGAGCTGAGACCATAGACCGATGAGATTAGACTTCTCAGTTCTAATGCAGGAATCAAACAGTGAGAGCAGCTTCAATTTCTTTTTAGTTACTGGACAAAAGATTAAAGAATTCAAATCAGGAGTGAACGGGCCTCGACATGGATTATTATAATTAAATAATAATTCATTACGCTTGTATAGCGCTTTTCTGGACACTCCACTCAAAGCGCTTTACAGGTAATGGGGATCTCACTACCACCACCAGTGCAGGTACCACCTTCCAGCGTGATGTTTAAACTGACGTTTAAAAAAAAAAAGTCACAAGCGAAGATTAGACAACTTGAATTGAAAGGGCCGGGCAGGAGGAGGGGTAGGGCACTAGCCCAAAAAGAGAGAGGGGGGGGAAGACAAGAGGATAACAAACAGTAGCTGTCTTTTTGTGAGGCAGCCACTTACAGCGAAAGGTCACAAAGGCACAAAGATTTTGACAACTTTTCGCGCCGTCGAATACGGGAGTTTTCGTATCAGTTACCCCTGTTTTGTAGAGAAGGCTTGCAGCCGTGGTCACCAAAACAGGCCGGGGGAGAAAACGATCTACTTGATTTTTTTCCTTCTTAAAGTGAGGCATCAGAGCTAATGAGATTATCCGTGCAGCTGCCGGCAGTTGACGGGATATATACCTCTTTTAA